TAGAATGGAACGAACATATATGCCGAATAGACACATTCGGCATATGATGTTTATATGTTCCCCATTCTTTGATAACACCACATCTCAAAGCTGTCAAGTCTTCTTGTAGTTTCCATTGCATAAAACTCGTTTCATCTTATTAAAGCGCTTCTGGCTATCTCAATGCATCGGTTTATTTCAAGGCTTTAGCTCACATCCCAAGTAATTGTATCTGGGTACTTTCTCTAAAGCTTTTTCTTTAACGTAGATTGTTTCATCTTCAATCTTGTTCTTAATGACTATTATGATTTTTGTTTTTTTTTGTGTTCAGTGCCATTCCATACCTCTTGCAATACTGAGTAGTGCGATCAACCTAAATTTGCAACCATCAACATTCTCGGCTGTCCGCAAGGAGTTTTTATCGTCTGGTTATTTGAGATTATTCACTAGTGTTCCGTTAATTGATATGCCTTCATTGATGTCTTCTAGTGCATCTTTAAACATCTCTTCTGAGCACATATTAAAAAGTATAGGAGATAGTATACATCCTTGTAGTACTCTTCTTCTTATAAGTATCTCTTTAGATTTTTGTTGGTCTACTTGTATTACGTTTTTCTGATATAGAAGAATTTCACAATCGATCTGGTGACCTCAGGAAAATTGAAGAAGATATTTTACTATTTAATCAGCCGCTCACTATCTGTGTTGAAAATGTATGTGTGATTTGCAGTCAGATTCTTTTTATCAGAAGTTTGGACAGATCCTAAAGAAGTTTGGACTTTTTCAAATTACTACTAAAAGAACGATATTCCAATTTAAGTAATTTTTTTCTTAGAATTTTTTCCATGCTTAGAAGAACGTACCTTTGTAAAATCAGCTTTTTAAACATGAAATTTATAAAATCCAAATACAGATCCTCTCAGATAAATCACTTTCTGTGTTACTTCGTTTGTCAACAACAAATATTGAAATTAATATTGTTACTCTTGTTAGTGAAAGTCAGCCTTTACAAACTTCCACTAATTTTAGGAATGTAAAGGGTGATTCATTTAGAGGTACTTTTTTCAACAAGAAAAAACAATGAAAAAAATAAACTTTATTTAGAAATATTTATTATCATACAAAAGAACCATTCCTTACAATTACCTCTTAAAGATATTTTCTTTTAAATGTTGGCCATGACTACGATTAAGTTGGTGCATTTTGAAGTTCCAATTCTCGATGATTTGTTCCAGCATTTCAATTGGTATTTCACCAATGACTCGAGTAATATTGGCCTCCAATATCTCAATTATATCTGGTTTATTTATGTAGACTTTGGACTTTAGGTAGCCACAAAAGAAAGAGTCTAGACGTGAGATGTCACAGAATCTAGGCGGCCAATTCACTGATCCAAAGCGTGAAATAATTTGTTCACCGGATCGTTCTCGCAGTAAAGCCATGCTTTCACGGGCTATATGGCAAGTGGCGCCATCTTGTTGAAACCAAATGTCTCCGAGATCACGAGCTTCAATTTCAGGTACCAAATAGTCCGTTGTCATGGCACGATAACGGTTTCCATTCACAGTAACGTTCTGTCCGGCCTCTGTTTTAAAGAAATATGGACCAACAATTCCACCAGCCCGTAAACCACACCAAACAGTTGTTTTTTCAGAGTGTAATGGCAACCCTTGAACTTCTTTGGGTTGTTCATCACCCCAAGATACGGGCATCTTGTTTATTAACGTAGCCATTAACCCAAAAATGAGCCTCATCTGAAACAAAATTTTTCTCGAAAACAGTGGATCTCTCAAAGCTTATTAAGAGCCCATCGACTGAAACTGTGATGACTCGGAAGGTCCGTCGGCTTCAACTCTTGTACTAATTGAATTTTGTATGCTTTAAAACCAAGATACTTACGTAAAATACGCCAAGTTGTTGCATATGACAAGCCAAGCTGTTGTGAACGGCGATGAATCGATTCTTCATTATTTTCGAGTAGAATATCCGTCACCGCCTCTATATTTTCTTCAGTACGTGCTGAATCTGCTCTATTTCGTCGTATGTTATTCAATAATGAAAACTGGGTTGCAAGCTTACTAATCGTTAAACGAATTGTACGTTCGGTTATGTGAACCATAAATTGCTCTAAACGCACGAAACACCTTCCTCACAGAACTCTCATTTTCAAAATACAGCTTATTAATTTCTAGACGCTGCCGGGCTAAGTCTTTCCATCATGAAATGTCAAACAATACTGAATAAAAGGGAAATGTCAATTTGGCAGTATTCATGCACGATCTCCAATCAAAGCCCCACCAAAACGAGTACCTCTAAATGAATCACCCTTTATATGTTTTTTTATATGTGCAATTAATCTTGTAATGTAATGCAGGCCATTCACGTTCCGACTTGTGGTACGACTAGTGGTCCAACTTCTGCAGTTGGATCTGAAATCGGACCGTGAGTGGGCTAGTTGGATTAGTTGGACAACTAGTGGTACGACTAGTGGGACGACTTGAAGATCCGACTTCCGACTGGCGACGAAGTCGGAGCGTGAATGGTGAAGTTGGAAGTCGGATCACAGGTTGGATCGAAAATTTCCTCAGTCAGTTGACTTTCGGCACCTGTTACGTATGAGATTTCTATGAAATACTTTACGCAAAGATCTCTAGTTCGCAAATATTTATTAGAAAATAAACTTTCAATTGCACGAAAATTACCTTTTTGTTAGGGCAAATCATTTTCCTTTCTGTAGATCTATTTCGGACATTCCTATACAGGTAAATTTCCGATACTCCGGATTGGCTACGGAAGAATTATCAACATACAATAAAAATTAAATCATACTTGTAGCAAAAGATCCCTAGTTCGCAAAAAAATAATAGAAAATAACTTTCAATTGCACAAACAATAATTATTCCTATTAAAAATATACGACACACACACACAACAAAATAAATCCCAGCTCCAGTTTAAAACAAATAAAATATAGATTTTATACCTATACAAATCTTTAAAAACTATAATTTTTTCCTACATCTTAAAAAGTCATAAAAATCAAGAGTTGAAAAAATTAATTAGTTCAGCCCTAGACAAATACCTAGAGAAACTAAACCTAATTTTTAAATTATCATAACATACAATAAAGATAACAAGCACAGTGCTGTCATTTTTCTCCTCCTAATTATATTTTGCGTAGTGTTTATTCGATACACCCTAGAACTGAAGTTGGACCGCTAGTTGGATAGAAAGTCGGAGCGTGAGTGGAGACGAACATCCAACTAGTGGTCCTACTTAGTGGTACCACAAGTCGGAACGTGAATGGCCTGCATAACTTAGCTCCTTGGATAAATAAAAATGAACATCCAAATATACACCAGTTTTATTCATTATATATAATTTACCAAGTCGCATATGATACCTCGCATTCTTATTTTCTTATATGCTGGGCTCCAAAATACTTGAAGTTGGACAGCTCTGTTTTAGATCATACAGAAGTTTTTACAAAAAATAACTTCTTTTCATAAAAATAAAAATAAAAAGTTTTTCATATGGTGCCGACTTATTGGACCCCGTACATAGATATAATAATTGCTATCTATTACAGTCTACAGTAGATATAAATTATTCATATTGTTAGTTATAATTATTTAAATATCATTTTATTTAACGATGTAGACAATATATTATAGAATTACATAATATACATTATATTATAAGAATTATTACTACAATATTATAAAACCATTTCTGAATAATATTCTGATAGTTTCATTCCAAAACCGGTCCTGTACAACAGATCAGCCGGCTTGTCTATGATTCAAACGTAATTATATAAACTAGACGTAGCTGTGCGAGTTTATGCGACCGTACGATGAACGGCAAACCTTGTGGTTGTTGTAAACCTGCCGTGTTGCCACATTTATAGTAGTCGTTCATCTCCCTCCGCCTAGAAGGAGTGGTCGAAACTTTCTCTTTGTTCCACTTTTGATTGATTCTAATAGTAGCGAAGTATTCCAAATGTTAAAAAAATAAAAGTTATTGCTTTCTTTCTTTACCTATATATGCAGGGACGTGCTGTTTTTAGAATAATTCATTAGTATTCAAAGATTTAAATCTGTCAGTTTCTATATTGCTGTCGGTTTTGTTCAAATTAATAATTTTTTTGTTAACTTCGTAAACTATTTGTTACCTCAGGTTAGTAATTGTATTGTATTATTTTTAATAATGTAAGTCACACTATTAACAACTACACTATTTTTCTTTTTATACTTAAAGAGTGTCGTGATGAGATCTTCATACCACAGGCGAAGGTTTTTGATCTAGGATGTTCTTTTCGTCATTCAGGTCCACGTTTTTCTTCTATTTTCCCCTCAATAATTACATGCAGTAGCTCTTATTATGGATTTTATATCACGTGGGCAAAATACTCTAATTTTATTCTTTTTACGGCATTCAAAAACTTTCTTTTTCTGTTTAGACGTTGTAAAACTGCTTGATTCATTACCTTGTTTGTCTACGATCTCCTTAACATTTTGCTGTAAAACTACATCTCGAAAGCCTTAATTCTTGTAAACATTGTTTCATGTCATGTCTTGTTTTAGAGTCCATGATTGTATTCCATATAATATAATAAAAAGCGTAATAAACGTATTCTTTAAGAAATTCTTAACGCTCTGTTGGTTAATGGATTTTACTTACGAAAATTATAGGTATACGACCGCACCAGGGGGCCAGGAGGTGAGACCCACAAAGCAAAAAAGTTCAAATGTACCTATAAAAAAAAAGCAGGCTTACATCAGAAGAAAAATAAGAGAAGCTAAAGAAAAAGAAGCTGTAGAGAAATGTAAAGAAATAGAAAGACTACTAGCCAAGCATGACAATTTTAATGTACACAAAAACGTAAAAGAAATAACGAGTACTTTTAAAAAGCGAACACAAATGAAACTCATAAACACCAATGGAAAATTAATCATTGACACCCAAAAGATGAAAGACAAATGGAGAATATATTTGGAGACACTTTTTCAAGATCAAAGAACGGATTATAGGCATCCATTTTCAGAGAGGATGACGGGGCCGGACATACTTAAATCCGAGGTAGAAGAAGCAATAAAACGGATGAAAAGCAGGAAAGCTGTAGGGCCTGATAATATCGAAGCTGAATTCTTAAAACTCTTGGACGAAGAAGGAATAATTTGGATCACGGCTGTCTTCAATAAAATATACAATACAGGAATTATCCCTGATAAATGGCTAGAATCAGAATTCATAGTGATACCTAAAAAACAGGGGGCTAATAAGTGCGAAGAATATCGAACAATCAGCCTAATGAGCCACATGTTAACAGGAAATAAAGTACCGCATAGGAAAGGCAAGAACGGTCTTTAACAAAATGAGCGCCATCTTCAAAAGCCACAACATATCCCTTGATACAAAAATGAGACATTTGAGATGCTATGTTTTCTCTGTGTTGTTGTACGGGGCGGAGGCATGGACGCTTACAGACACCACTATTAAAAAACTTGAAGCATTTAAGATGTGGCTTTATAGAAGAATGCTGAGAATATCATGGACAGCTAGAATCACGAACAAGGAAGTTCTAGGAAAAATGAAGAAGGAACCAGAGATTGTGTTTACGATCAAACGCATAAAATTGCAATATCTGGGACACGTTAAGAGAAATCAGCACAGTTACTCCCTGCTACAGTCTATATTGCAAGGTAAAGTCAAAGGTAAGCGAGGACCCGCTATAGTGTATTTTTATGTATGAGAGAGTAATAAAACAATAAATTATGTATGCAAATCCCTAAACTGTTGATACGGGTGACTCAATGAAAAACAGATATTTGTCAACAAGTTTACAGAAGTATATAGGAAAACAATTTTAAATTGAGTATGACCACCAGGTATAAAGGTTGGAGCAGAATAGAATACAATAGTTGTGAGGGTTACTAATCCCTAAATAAGGTTGCCAGTGTCGGAGTGATGGAGGTTAACAGGTACTAATGAATTTGCAAGAAATGTAAGATGTTTATTTTATTGGTTATATATAACCAATAAAAGTTTAATAAGTACCTACCTATTTGCAAAATAAAGTTTAATTCTTTAGATAAAATAAAACGTTTTATTTTATCTGAAATGAGTGCATTCCACGAAGTAAGGGTTTCAACAATCAAACATTTAATTCTTTAATTCCAGGAATCTACGACAGTAATTGACTAGATAATTACCTTCTAAACTTATTCCACAGAAAATGTGATAGTGGGTTTTTCCATTTTGTAGGAAGGTCCAAGTGGCGTATTCAAAATTCTTAACAGTTCACTAAAAGTAGGTACTTCAGTTGCAAGGTGCAGTTTATTGTGTATACTAGTGTTATGGAAAATTTGGAAGTGCCGTGTAAACGCCGAAAAATTGGTCCTTTAACAGTTAATGAAAAAACATTAATATTTAATTGTTTTAAATCATTTACAGACAAACGTTTATGTGAAAGTGTTGATGAGACCGTTGAGTTAGTTAGCAGTACACTTGGTGTTGGGAAATCTACGATTTACAGAGTTATTAAAGAAGAGAAATGTGGTAGTTTTCAAATGCCACGTAATGCTCCAGGGAAACCAAAATTTCAAATAGAATATCATTTTAAAGAAGGACTTCGACGGAAAGTGCATGAATTCTTCTTTAGACAAGAATTTCCAACATTGGATAAAGTTCTTGTCTCAGTTCGAGATGATAAGGATTACCCAGAAATGAGTCGAAGTACGTTATGGAAACTTTTAAAAGAAATAGGCTTCCGCTGGAAAAAGAATCCCAGAAAGTCTATTTTATTAGAAAGAAGCGATATTGTCATATGGAGAAGACATTTTCTAAGAACCATAAAGGAAATGAGAAACCAAAAAAGAAAAATATTTTATCTTGATGAAACATGGATCAACGAGGGTCATACACCAAATAAATTTTGGCAGGATGAAACTGTTACAAGTCAAAGGCACGCTTTTGTAAATAACTTATTACTGGTTTAAACCCACCATCAGGAAAGGGACGCAGGCTGATAATAGTACACATTGGCAGTTCAGACGGTTTTGTTGAAGGTGGTTTATTAACTTTTGAATCAACTCGTACCGGTGACTACCATGACGACATGAACGCTGATGTCTTTCAAGAATGGTTCGAACAAATGATAGATCTTCTTCCTAAGAACTGTGTAATAGTAATGGATAATGCAAGTTATCACTCCAGACTTATAGAAGGACTGCCCACAACCAAGTGGTTAAAAAAAGACTTGCAGAATTGGCTGAGTTCAAAAAATATTACGTACCATCCCGGATCTATAAGAAAGGAACTTTATTCGTTGTGTGCCCTTCATAAAGAAAAATTTTAAAAATACGAAATTGATGAAATTGTCAAAAATCGTGGAATGACAGTACTTAGATCCCCACCATATCATTGTGAATTAAACCCGATTGAACTGGTATGGGCACAGATAAAGAGTGAAGTTTCAAGAAAAAATACCACTTTTAAAATTCATTATGTTAAACAGTTGTTTTTGGAGGCCGTAAATAATGTAAAACCTGAAAACTGGGAAAAGGCAGTAAATCACACTATTAAAGAAGAGGAAAAAATGTGGAAGCTGGACAATATTACTGATAAAATGATCGAGCCAGTTATTATAAATCTTGGTTCTGAAAGTTCATCTTCTGAATCTGATTTGGATTTGTAACAAGTAGCTGTAAGTTTTATATTAATATTTTTATTTATCTATTTAACATACCTTAGACGGTTTTAAAGACTCTTTTTCTCTTTTGTAATTTTTAAAAATTAAAAAAAATGTGAATTTTTTAAAACCCTTTTTAATGTAGGCCAGTCAGTTCTAATATAGTGTGTGATAAAAGAGGTCACTTTTGTTTACATACACATAACACTTTATAACACTGAAATAATTCATTTATTTTTTACAATTATTCAAAGTATTTTTTCAATTAATCTTGAGCACGCCCATGGAGTGGTCGGAGATACCAGTTAAAATTATGTTAATTACTCTCTTGTTCATAAAAATAAACTATAGAAGGAGAATATCATGGCTGCGGAATTTAAGAACATGGTTTAAGAAAACCTCAACGGAGCTGTTTCGAGCCGCAGCGAGCAAGGTTATGATTGCCAATATGATTTCCAACATCCGAAACGGATAGGAACCAGAAGAAGAAGATAAATTTAATAATATCCTAAACAAAGACACTCATCACTACAAATAAATTTCTAACATGTCAGGAATCGATAGAAAACACCCATAAATGTTTTTTACTCTGAATCTTTTTTAATTCATTGACAATACTTCTTTTAAGTAATTACGTATTAAAATATATAAATCACAGAAGGGAAAACTATTAATAACAAAAGATTTTGTAGTATGTATTTTATTTTAAGCTTGTAATTTATAAAATTAACTAAAATATTTCTTAAGAACAAAGACTTTTCTTTTAAATGCTTATAATTCGATAATTACAATTTAATTTTTATATCTCTGGCAATATACTAATCGTCCTTTTTATTCTCTTTTCGAATCTGTTCGCAGATTTAAAATAGGACTTTTAGTTTTTGTAAAATAAACAGTCCTATTTTTCCAAAGATAAAATATTCTCAGCGCAGCCCTATTCACAAAGATTGACGATTTAAACCAATGAGTGCAAAGAGGACAGACGCAGGAGGAGGGACAAGGCGGAGCTATTACAACGATTCGTAAAGCGTCGATCCAATCAGTCGCTACGATTTTGTCCTTGACTGGTCTTTATCGTTGAGAGGATATAAATAAGAACATCTGGCTGAATTTTTATGGCTCTTTTCATGGGGGTCATTAAAATGGGGTTTGATAATATGATGGTTGATGGTCTTCCTTAGTCTTTTGTGTTGTAGGAGGGGAGTTCGGTTGGGTGAAATGGTTGTAGCGATAATGGTTGTCCAATATTAATTATAGCTCATGTTCTAACACGTTTTGCCCTAGGGCACTAATCCTCGAACGCATTTATAAAGATTTAAATGGGTTAGGGAATACGGCCTCTGGACACATACAGCCTTTTACTAGGGATATTGTTTAGCATATAACCAGTTCCCAATGTAGATACTTCAGACGTTAGGATATAGAATATAAAAAGACTTAAAAAATGTTATTATTTAATTAGATAATGATATCTAAAAAGAGATTCTATTATAGTGCCAATATATTCGATTATAACCGTAATCTGTTAAGAATAGCCGGAAGAGATTTGTAATTTTATGTAAAACCAGGTGTACAATTGTGTTAACCAGAAATTCTTTTCGTTTCAGGTCTTGTTTCTTTGCCAGCTGTTTTTTGATACCGTAAAAGTGTTTACTATTACAAGATCGCTCTTTCTGTTGTTATCATGTATATATGTTCTCTATAGTTTGAGAAATTCTCAATTTTTGGTGTAAACTTCTCTTAAAAATCTAATTATGAGATATGACTTTATTCTTCCAAACAACCTGTAATACCTAAACTATTTTTACAGTCTTCTTCTTCTTCATCGTCTAGCCATTTACGTCCACATCTGAACATAAGCCTCGTCAAGTCTTCCTTTCCATTGTTTTTTATTGTACGCTACTTGTAGCCAATTTTTCCCGGCAGTCCTTTTCAGATCACCTGTCCATCTCATAGGAGGTCTGATTCTGGGTCTTTTGTGTTGGTATGGTCTCCAGGTTAAAATTGATCTGTGCCATTTGTTTAGATCGCTCCTAGCTACATGTCCAGCGTATTCCCATTTCAACTTTAATGATTTTTGCACCACATCGGTGACTTTGGTTTTCTGTCTTATCCATGTGTTTGTTTTCTTGTCCTTAAGTGATATACCTACCTAGCATTGCTCTTTCTATCGCGTGTTGAGTGACTCTAAATATATTCATATTCTTTTTTGTGATTGTCCATGTTTGCGCCGCATAAGTTAATCTCGGAATAATGCATGCATCAAAAACTTTAGATCTAAGATATACCTAATTGAATTTGTTGATTTCTGAGTATATAGTTCAGTTTACCGAATGCTGCCCAAGCCAACTTTCTTCTTCTTTTTATTTCTTCAGTTTGAATTTCCCTATTTAGGATTATTTTTTGTCCTAAGTATATAATATTTTTCAACTTTTTCTATAACTTTATCGTTTATTATTGTCACGGTGTCTTCGGAGTGCATGACTTTTGTTTTGTTTAAATTCATTTTCAGTCCAATTTTAGAAGATTCGGTATGTAGTTCTAAAAGCATGGTTTGCATTTCTTGTAGGTCAGTAGCTATCAGGATTATGTTATCTGCAAATCGTAGATTACTGAGGTAGCGGCCATTGATGTTTATTCCCTTATATTTCCAATTTAGGTTTTTAAAAACGTCCTCCAAAACTAAGGTGAACAGTTTGGGTGATAAAGTATCTCCCTGTTTGACTCCCATGTTTAATGGTACAGGGTTCGTGTGTTCATTTTTATTTAGGTAGTATGTAGCTGTAGCTTGGTTCATAGTTTCTTTTATTAAGTTAATATATCTACTGTCTATTCTACAATTTGGCATTGCGTTTATTACGGCCGTGTGTTCTATGGTGTCGAAAGCTTTTTCGTAGTCTACAAATGCTAGGAAAACTGGAAACTTGTATTCGTTACATTTTTCTATTAATATTTTTGTGGTTAACAGGTGATCGGAAGTTGAATAGCCTTTTCTAAAACCTGCCTGTTCATATGGTTGGTATTCGTCTATTTTTACTCTTTTTACAGTAACTATTAATAAATATCTGACGTCTGAAAATATGGTGATTTAGAGATAAAAATAACGGAGAACAAAAGAAGGTCGAGTTTTGTGTTATATTGACAATTTGGCAATAATCGCAATGTCGTAGATGATACAGTAATGGCAAAACGATGAAATAAATAAAACATTGTGGCAAATTACACAATGTGCATATGTTCGATATTGTAATATTGTATACGTTTCGATATTGCGGAGAATGTCTTCTGCTTCTTCCATCTTGTCTGTAGGCTTTAAAGCCTGTTTCTTCTTCAATATTAGCCTCCTAAATTGTTTGAATGATCGCATCATCTTTTTCTTGGTCTGCCAATACTTCTTTGTCCATTTGGTGACTTATCTCAGTGGCGGCCGGTCAGGGTCGGCAGGGTTGGCAGTGCCGACCCACATCTTTATAGATATTATAGACTTTTTTAATATTTAATTTAATCAGTATTTCAATAAATACTTGTGGCAGGTAATCAGTTGATGTCATTTGTTTTTGTGAACTAAAAAAATATCTGTGAGATAATAAAGACTAAATTGTATTCATGTTTTTTAAAAGAATTCGACCAGACTAAATTTTATTCACGGTTTTTAAAAGAATTCGTCCAATCTGAGCGTTAAGAGCGTAGACACTTTTCAAATAGATTATTCGATATCGGAGACATTCATCCGCCTATGAATTCTTAAAAAGGCACGTTTTGTTTTTTCGGCTAGCCGATCCCAACCTTGACTTTACTTGTAAAAATCAACGGAATATTGGTTGATTAGCAACCAAATATACATTTCTTTCCATATGAACTTAATTACCAAGTACGGCGAATTTAAATTTGCGATGTTTCATTTGGATTGGTGATTGGTCGCGAACTGTACATTGCGAGCGTGGGACGAAATGTTATTTCATATATGTAGTAAAGTGAAGTCCACAAGGAATCTACGTTCCTGTGAAGTGATATTCAGTGCACGAACTAGTCTTTTTTTTTATTTATTTTTATTTTCTAAAGTAATACTGTGATACGTTACGTCTGCCGTAAATAGTAAAAAAAAAGGTTAAAGGGTTTTTTGATATATTAGAAGTTTTTTTTTAATTAACGTGTAAACAACTTCAGGTTAATTAACCTAAAAAATGCAAGCCATGGGAGAAACTGTAAGTACTGATAAGTCTGATATTGTAAATTATATTTTGCATAATGGGTTTTCAACTATTCCATACGAAGAACAAATTGTTATTAAAAATAAGGGGCGTCCTTTGCCTAAAATGTCCCGGCTTATAAATATTAGTGCGGGTAAGGGAAGTAATAGATCATTTTCAGATAATTGGTACAGCAAGTACTCATGGCGAATGGAGTCTCAGCATGGAGTGAAATAAAAAACAAACTTTTCTGTTGGCCTTGCATTTTATTTTTGACAAATAGGGGCAAACATCAAAATCCGTGGTGTGAATCTGGTTACGATAATTTAAAGGAATTATTTAGGGCTTTACATAAACATGATATTTCGAAAGATCATACTTACAGCCAGATTAAATTAGATTTATTTGGAAAACAAAATATCTATGTTTCATTAGATAATGCCCAACGTGAAAATGCTATTAAACATAACGAAATTGTAAAAAATAATCACGCAGTTTTACGTCGCGTCGTTTAATTGATATTGTAATTTTTTTAAGTTGTCAGGAATTATCTTTTAGGGGACACGATGAATCGGAGCATTCGTTAAATCAAGGTAATTATAGAGAACTAATAAAAATATTTAAGAAATACGATTTGGAATTTTCTAATTTACTTTCTGATTCGAAGACATTTAGCGGTGTATCTAAAACAATCCAGAATAAATTAATAGAATCAATTAGTTACATTTTGAGTAACGTTATTGAATCTGAGATTCAGGAAATCAATTGCTTTTCACTAGAAGTAGATGAAACTACTGACATATCATGTCATTCACAATTATCAATTGTTGTTCGATACGCGTTACGTGGTAATATCTATGAGAGGATTTTAGGTTTTACAGACGTGAGTAAAAGCCATAAGGCAGAACATATTTTTGGTGTTTTAAAGGACAGATTAAAATTTTTTGATATCAAAAATAAATTGGTAGGGCAAACTTATGACAGCGCTGCCGTGATGTCTGGTGAATTAATGGTCTCCAGGCAAAAGTTAAAAATTAGCCTGTCTAATAAATATCTTGGAAATTCTTTGGCGTAACTTTTAAATTTTGAATCGTCAAAGAGGTCAAAAATTTGCAAATCTTCAAAATTCGAAAAACGAGTATCTATTTGCATAATAATAGTATCCAAAATTTCAAAATATACTCGTTTTTCGAGATCTGTTTCTGTGTCACGCCTTTGTCTTTTTTCTGGGGGTTCGGAAATATCAAGCGAGTCCAAAACGTCACTGCGTATATACTGGAAATTACTATCATTACGAAAATCTCTGAGATTTTGCACCAGTCTTGT